TTCAGTTATTCAGTTCAGCCTTTCTCCTCCAACTCCATCAGCATCTTTAAGTCATTTGATCTCCAAGGTAAATGCTGTACATTAAACTTAATAAAACAAGTTTATTGCACTACAAAAAAAAAAAATAGACCTATGGCCCAGCCAGCATGGCTCAGTGGTTGAGCGTTGACCTATGAACCAGGAAGTCATGGTTTGATTCCCGGTCAGGACACATGCCTGGGTTGTGGGCTCGATCCCCAGTGTGGGGCGTGCAAGAGGCACCAATCAATGATCCTCTCTCATCATTGATGTTTCTATCTCTCTCTCCCTCTCCCTTCTCTCAAATCAATAAAAATATATTTTAAAAAATAGACCTAGGACAGTGCCTGACACAAAACAAGTACTGGAAAAAAACTGGCTGTTATTATTATTATTGTCATTATCATAAAAATTATTCTATTCAACATTTATGTGAGTATCCTCTGGAAGATCTCTCCCTTGGTGTTGAAGTTATTCATGGGCAGCCAGCTGGCTCGATCAAGGACAGAGATACAGAGAGCTGGTTTAAAGCCCTACCTCATGCTGAGCACTGTCCCCTCCCCCACCACCCCTACCGTTCTCATCCTCCCTGGTATTCAGCCATGGTCATCTCCTCCTGGCCCTTGGGCCTTACCCTGGGCCCTGACATGGGTTTTTTATTCACTTCAGTTTGATCTGTTTTGTCCTTTCTCTGCCAGAGGACACAACTCTCATCCCAGGACTGCTTCCAACTCTGAGACTCCCTGCTCATTCTAAGAAATGCATCTCTACTCCACTTCTATTCAAAGGTCTTTTGCTATGGAAGTCACTCAAACAATCCTGGACAAAGAGGCAGGGGCATTGGGAGTCCTCAGAGGGCCAAGAAATCCTTAACATTCTGTGCAAGGGGCTGCTTTAGGCCCTGGGCACTGGAGGGCACACAGAGGTAAGACATACACATCAATATCCATCACTTGGCCTAGAAATAAGGGTCCTCAGAGAGTGAAGGTGAGGCCTTTAAATGACAGAGAAAAGAGAGAATTTACAAGTTGGTGGATCAAGAAAGGCTTCCCACTAGAGCAGTGGTTCTCAACCTGTGGGTCGTGACCCCTTTGGGGATCGAATGACTCTTTCACAGGGGTCGCCTAAGACCATCGGAAAACACATATATAATTACATATTGTTTTTGTGATTAACCACTATGCTTTAATTATGTTCAATTTGTAACAATGAAATTGGGGGTCACCACAACATGAGGAACTGTATTAAAGGGTCGCGGCATTAGGAAGGTTGAGAACCATTGCACTAGAGGATATGGCATCTGAGCCACCCTGAAGGGTGGGGGCTGGGTATGCAGCAGTAGAGAGGTGTAGGAGGGGAGGGAGAGCATGAGCAAAGCCACCGCACCCTTTCCTTTCCAGAAAATGGCACAGCCAAGGAGAACTGGGGCCATGCCAGGCTATGGTCATTCATTCATTCCTTTATTTCTTCACTTCCAGACTCTCTTTCCATGGCATAGAGCCATTTACCTTCTTTATTTAATATGGGATTACTATAGTTCATGTCTCCTCCCTCCACTTTGGGTGAATTGGTCTCTTATACAGCTACCCACAGTCTGTAGGCTAATCATCAAAAATAAAGGATTTGACTGAAATTCCAGAATCTGTGAACATCCCCTCCCCCAGGGCAGTTTCCTGTCTCCTTGCTGCCTAATTGGAGTGAGGACTGGGAGCTGGTCATCTTCCAGGTCCTCCTGTAAGAAGAAAGCAGGGAAGCGGGCTTTCATTGAAGAGGTTCTCTGTGCAGGCACCTGCTGGGTCTTCCCCCTGCTCCCTTATTTAACCCTTCAGTGTCATAGTGAGGACTTCGCCGAGGCTATCTCATTCTATTAACTGAGTGCCCTGTGATGCCAACACAGAGGTGGGTTTTGGCTTCCCCAGCAGGTGGATGTCAGGTCCCCAACTTGTGACAGGAGCAACCACAAGAGCCTCCAGTTCACACATCCCAGTTCAGGGTCCCTCCCAAGTTCACTGCAGGATCTGGCCATGTTGGGAGTGCAGCCAGCCTCTTCCTGAGGATGTGCTATAGTGACTCATGACCAGCCCCCATGGGAGGGTAATCCAGAATCTACTCGCCAGAATATAACAATAGCTGCATTTTAACCATCTCCTAGGAGTGACTGACGTCACTGCCTCCAGGGGAAGAGGAGGTGTTCCACCCAGCTGCATCCTACAGAGGCCTCCCTTCCTCTCAGGTGGGTGGCAGGGCTGGTGGGATGGGGTGGAGGTGTGGGTGAAAGGTTGTGTTACTTTTTCACAATCAGAGAACTTGAAAGTTCTCTGTGTTTAAAACAGGGGGGTTGGACTAAATGGTCCCTAAGTCCCCTTGCAATTCACTGGTTCTGGGGCTTGCTCTGAACATTTCCAAGTTCCTGGATACCCTTGAGGTATTTGTGTTTCTGAAGCATGAATTGAACCTGAAAATGAAGGCTACAAAGCCCTAAAAGAAGAGGCAATTCTTCCAGCTTATTTCCCATCAGCTATAGTCAAAAGTTGCCCTTATGTCCTGCCCTAGCCAGCGTGACTTCTCTTATTCGTTAGTCATTTTTCATGATCAGGAACTCAAGCCAAGAATTGGGACTTCTGGGAAAACAGGATCCAGCCAAACCTTCACCTCCTGCAGGGCCCTTGCTTTCAGTCCTGGGCTTCTCAGAAGACATCAGTTATTCAAGATGTGGAATGCAAAAAATGGCTGGAGGTTCCACAGTGATGAAGGACAGGATGCTATACCAATGGCCTATCACCTGTTTGAAGACAGCTGGCAGATAAGCATCTCCAATGTCAGCCTCTCTCCACAGCTCCACCTTGATACCTATGGGCATATCATACTCAGTATGCTCATAACTGAACTCATTGCCCTACTTCATACTAACCTGGACTTCCTCTTGCACTCCCCACTTTAATGCCACCATAGGGAATAAGGATTCTCTCTCTCTCTCTCTCTCTCTCTCTCTCTCTCTCTCTCATCACATACTTGATTCCTTATTCTATTTGGAGGAAATTCCAATCAGTGTGAATCTGAACGGGGCCAGACATTCCCACACGTGCCCCCTAGTGACAGGGGCATATGCACAGAACCTAGGCTTGGCCATCAGACCTTGCACAAGGGGTTTTGGTTCTTGACAGTGACACAAAGCGAGAGATTATTTACAGCAACAGGGACAGAGAGCAGGTGCAGCAGGTGTCCAATGGTAGGGAGGCTTTGGCCATGACCTGACCAGGCAAGCCCCAGCCTCTCTTGGTTTCTGCCCATTTTCGGAGTTTGGTTCTTTAGGCTTCACATTGGTCCAGTGAGCTCTAATAAATATACAGCCACTAAATTCCATTTCTTCTTAGAGATCCAGAGTCAGCTTCTGTCGTTTGCAATGAAGTCTTGGTTGGTACCCTCACCACCCCACCACCTCACCCCCCACCAGTCAAGACAGGAAGCTAGAAATCCTTCCTGACTAACCCTGTCACTGAGGTCCACTGATCCCACCCAGTGATGTCACCTCTGTGGCCCCAGTGCCACCCCCAAGCCGGGGCCTCGTTATAATTGCCATTTCCTGCTGTCCCCTATTGATGGCTCCTCTGATCTCTGGGTCCTTCTTAACCACAAGCATCTACTTCTGATCAAATCTCAGAATCTAGGATCACGCCACGTCCTCCATCAGGGTTTTCGACAGAAGAGGAAAAGGAGAAAACTGGAGAAAAGAAAGGTGTTCAGCAACTCTGAGTGGAGCAGGAAATGAGAAGGCAGGCACCACAAAACACAGATGCAACTCGGTGTCTCTGTAATAACTCAGTCTGCCTGAGGTCGTATGATGGCATGAACTTCTCCCCTTCTTGGTATGTTTCTTTGTCTTCTGAAGTCACATCAATGAAAAGTATTAATTACTCTTCAAACAGAAATAAA